CTCGTCCTCCTCGAATCCCCCCATTTCACTTGTTTGACCTCAACTCCTATTAAATAAGAATATTACCTTTTTTATTTCTTGTGATACACTCGTATAAGATTTACAACTCTGCAAGAGCATAACATCCAAAACATTGCACTATAATACTATTTCCGATTTTAATGATAAGATCTGGTTTATAGATTATAAATAAAATCTTATAATTAAGACCGGAGGTAATATTATGCATTATATACTAATAGGTTGTGTTATAGATTTATTAAATTAACATGAACACATAAATTATAGGATAAAGATGTATCCAACACCTCAAAGTATTTAGTCAGGTGCGTTCAGCGTCTTAAATTATATTTTGTAATGCATTCATCACTCTAAAGTATTTTTTCAGGTGCATCCAGTATCCTCTTAAAGTATTAATTTTTTTCCAAAGCAATTGTGCTTTTAAAGTATGATTTCATAAACAGTTTTAATCTCATCATTAACCTCTCAAAATGTGCATTGAATGAATTTATATTAAGTATGATAAACTATTTTTTCAGTATTTTTTAGGATGCTAAATACATATGAAAAATACTTTAAGGTACTAGACACATCACAAAATACTTCAGAGTATTAAACGTATTTGAAAAAATATTTTATAATACTAAGTGAATAATAAAATACTTTAAAATATTGGACGTGTCTGGCAAAATATTTCATGAGAACACGCTTCAACCCTAAGGGCCTGTTTGGTTTGAGGGGAGGGGAGGGGAGGGAGGGGTAGGGGAGGGAAGGGGAAATTTCATCCTCACCTTGTTTGGTTTGATTAAAAAGGAGGGGAGGGGAGGATATTTAATGATCCCTTGTTTAGTTCAAGGAGGGGAGGGGAGGGATAGTAATAATCAATTTATCATTTTACCCTTACATATTAATTTATGTTTTTATTGATATATTATATAAATTAATTTACATCTTAATTTAAATCATATAATTTAATAAAAATTCAGTCCTATCATGTTAATATGTGTATTAAAAAATTGATACAGTAATTTTTTATTCTTATTAATATAATAATATATTTAAAATAATCAAATTAACAAATTTTATATGTTCTAAGAAAAATGAAATTTTATTCTCTTTACGCTATCTTTTTTTCCATCTTTAAAATATATTTAATAAATAATATATTTATAAAAAAATTAATTTTATAATATTATAATTTTTTATTTAAATAATTTTTTATTTTTAAATAATTTTTTATAATATATTTTTAATTATAATAATGTATATATTTTTTTTTTTGTACTTAGGATAATATATTTTTTATTTGAAATAAATATTATAATAATATATTTTATGGTAGAAGTGGAATATTAAAAAAATTATAAGGACATAATGGTCTAAAAATTTGGCTCCCCTCCAAAAACTCCCAATTTGGAGGGGAGCCAAAATGGGGAGAGGGAGGGGAGGGAGGGGAGGGGAAGGGACATTTTAGCTCCCCTCCCCTCCAAAATTTTTAACCAAATAAGGGGAGGGGCTCATTTTCCCTCCCCTCCCCTCCAACCAAACAAACCCTAAATAGTATTTTTTCAGTCCTTAATATAAAACTCAATGTTGAGTTAGTTTTGATCCTAAATATAAGACTCATTTATCATATTTATAAATTTTTTCTAAACTACTCCTATAGATACTCTCTCAACCATAATCAAGAAAAAGAGGGAGATGGGATATTAAGAAAGTTGATTATGATGTTTTAGAAAAAATGTGTTACATTTCTTATAATTAACTAATTTACCTAAATTTTTTAATCTGATCAAATTAGTTAAATAGGTCTTATATTAAAGATCGGAAGAGTAAATAATACGCCAACAAAAATTACAGGGTATTTCCATGTTTCACACACACGCGCATAAAGACTGTTTGCGTGGGGTTGGTGGAAGAGGCGGTGCCCCTAATAATGGGTCTGTTGTGTCATTATTAATTTATTAGAATGTCAATGCCGTTTAGTGTAGCCGACAAGAGACGCTACCTGCGGATCTTGAAACATAGCATGAGATGTGCCGTGGAATCCGGTTTTTCAGTGATTCAAGAAATTAATTTTAAATATTCTTATTCACCCATCAAGTGGGATGATTGAATCCTCGTCCTCCTCGAATCCCCCATTTCACTTGTTTGACCCAACTCCTATTAAATAAGAATATTACCTTTTTTTATTTGGTGATATAAGATTTACATCTCTGTAAGAGCATAACATCCAAAATATATAAGGGAAAACACATCAACATGAAAATAAATAATTACATCAGTAAGCCAAATGTGGCACTGTTTAATGTATCCCACTTTTAACCAGAATATACATAATATATATTTCTTAGCATATGATGCATCCAATGGAATTTCCCTTTGTTAATTTTAATTACAGAGAGTGAATGAAATTAACTACGAGTATTATTTTGGACACAATTATATATGAGTATATATTTAGAAAGTTAATCTTTTAGTACTGTAATTCAATTCATAAAACAGTAGTCCCAAAGTTTCATGAAATATATAATTTGATAGGGACTGAGTTACATCATTTAAAGTTTTGCAACTAAGTTAAAATTATAATAAGAATCAAAAGATTATTTTTTTTCCATATATATATACACGTATGACAAATAAAGAAATCGAACTAGTCATATACAACTATAAAAATACATTTGAGACAAATTTAATTCAAAAATATACTTAGAAAATTGTCTGTTTTTTAAATGATAATTTTTCTTGACAGATATTATTATTAAGTAATTTATCCTTGGAATATCACGGCACAACGAATCCATGCATGCAAAATAATATGCTGATAAATATTGTGGCCCCGAATTAATTTGAGTCCACATGTTCATAGAGCTTCCAAAACAGAAGTTTCGAGGAACCATAGGAAGCAAATTTGGTTTGTGCGATTCCTTAGTAATAACAGGAAACAAACTCAAAATTATGACCCCATTTGTCATCTTCTGCTTCTCTCCATGTAAACAATTTGGATCTACTCCATACTCTCTATCGATAATTCTCTTTCATACACAATCTCATCCAATTATTTGATTTGATGGCCAGAGATTTTTTTTATTGATTATTGCTATACTCAAATCCTTTTAAAAAATAAGATCATAATATTTCTTTATTATTGTAATTAAATGAATAACAAAGGCAATTTAATTTCAGAATTACCAATCTTACACTGTTACAACTAAATAACAGCCAAATAAACGGATTAGATTGTGTATGAAGAAACTGATAATATTATAGTCTAATAGCATGAAAGCTTTTTTATACCTAAAAAAATCATGAATTCAATGCTACTTATAATTTTAAAAGAAGAAAAGTATGGGGATGGCTAAAATCCCGTACAAACACATGCATGCTATTGATTGGAAGCAGATCCTCCATCTTTAGATAAAAAAATGAATAATTCAGATTTAATATTTTTAAAACTAAAACTGTATTATTATATCATTTTATAAATGAGTTTTTTTAAATTTTTTTCTGTACCGAAACTTTGCATATAAAATTTTAACAGTTTAATTCTATATTCTTTATATTTATAATAATGTTATAAAATATTTAACTTAAAAATCTATTTTTAAAAAATTTAAAAGTAGGTATGAGATTAGAGAAGAAAATGAGAAAGAGGGGGAAAAAAGCAGATAACCCAATCGATCAGCCTATCACTTCTGACAACAACTGAACCGTCACCTCTTCCCCAAAAATTTAATTTATATATGCACAGACACACATGTATATTTTTCAAAACATAGATGTAAGCAAATCTTTTAATTTATTTGATTTTATAGACGTGTAGCACAGCTTTGCTAATCAGCAACCTACATCATTTGGACTTATACAGAATACGTTTTTTTGTATAACTTAAACTCTTGTGACGTATCATTTCACAAAATGGGTGGTTTATCTTATCTCTCACTCTACCTAACCCCATAATTTAGTGAGATTTATTCAATTATAATTCAACTCTTGTGATGTTAGACACATATGATGATATCAGCATATACGTATAATTAATTTGGAGTTTAATTATGTATGATTTTTTTTTTATGTGTGGTTATCGCACTACCTAATCGTATAATTTAGTGAAGTATATTGCGTCAAAATGTCAACTCCATTTTTATTTGACGTACTTATATAAGTTGAGAAAATGTTTATTTTAAGCAGTTTGAAGTGTTACGATGTATTATTTAATGAATTAGTGGTTAATTGGTTATCACAATACCTAATCTTGTAATATATGAATAAATATTTCAATTATAATAACAGCTCAATTAATTTATGTCTCCAACAGTCCAACTATAATATATTTACCCAGCGGATCACAACATAATTATAAATATAACCGTTGTATTATTTTACTCCTCTTATTATTTTTATCCATGAATATTTTTATTAGCCAACTATCAATTTATATCATTTGTTACATCTAAACGCTAGCCCATCCATTTTTTTTAGAGTATGGGATCTGAATCCAAATTTTATTTTAACAATAATAATATTTGAACGTTTTTACTTAATAAAATGGGTGGAGATCCAATACATCTATATATGTTTGTATTCCATATAAAATGACCGATTGTATTGAGGCATGCATTGAGGTTCACCCACACAAGAAGACATTTCGTCTTAATATTTTTCTTTCTCTTTGGCCTGTTCCTCTTAACATTTTTCAATCGATCAACAGTTAAAATGATGTACTATTATCATTTTATATGTTTGATTCCCCGTGTAAATATAATGACCACATGAAGCATTGAAGTTGCTGCAGAAGAGACGACTCACTGCTTCTTCTTCCCATTTTCTCTCTCCTCCAATTGTTTAATTTCTTCCCCATATATTACTTAATAATTCATCATCTACGTACGTACTCTGGTCTCTTTTTGTGTGCCTACGTTATAGAAATTATAATCTTTAAGGGGCCCACCCTTTGAGTTATTAAACTTTCATTCTGTCGTTCTCTCTCAGCAACAACAATGGAGAACTTCAAGACGCCCTTCAAGGGTGTAGTTAGTGATATCCGAGGAAGAGCCAAGTATTACAAGGAAGATTGGATTTCTGGTATCTGTTCAGGAATCGGGTACTTTTCTTACTACATATATATATATATATTATCGAACGATATATATACACAAGATGTCTCAGTTCAAACTTGTTCATAGTACAAATAATCTTCATTTATTTTGGTTCTGATGATAGGATATTGGCTCCGACCACCTATATTTTCTTTGCTTCTGCTCTTCCTGTTATAGCCTTTGGAGAACAGATCGATAGAGACACAGGTTCTTCCTCCTCGGCCGGCCTTGTGTGGGTGTGTGTGTGTGTGTGTTGCTTGTGTATACAAAAGATTAATTATATTCTAGCATGGAAGATCCAATAAAAGAAGTGAAGAAAAGCTGTAAAGAGTGGACAAAGAATTATGCATGTTGTGTTACATATGTAACTGTGTCGTTCTTTTATGGCCTTTTAAACTTTGAGGATGATATGCTTAATTATTAATTTATTCTGAGTTTTTGATTTTTTTGCATGTCTTAGATTTATAAAATGGAAATATCTTTGTAATATCCTTAATTTGTTTGTTTGAAGATGGAAGCTTGACTTCAGTAGAAGCACTGGCTTCAACTGCTATATGTGGAATCATACACTCAATTCTGGGAGGTCAGCCATTGTTAATACTGGGAGTTGCAGAACCCACTATCATCATGTACACTTACTTATACAAGTTTGCTAAAGATAGAGATGATTTGGGGCACAACTCTTCTTGGCTTGGGCTGCATGGTAAGAATAATCATATCAATTTTCTAAAAGGATATGTATGGGTGATTTTTATCTCTCATTAACTAAGTTAGCCAGTTCGTCTTAGAATTTTTCGAAGTTTAATTAAAGTTCAAGGAGATTTGTGAACTACGATCTTCAGGGTTTGCGTTTGGACAGCTCTGATGTTGATTCTGCTAGCAATATTCAATGCGGGAGCCATTGTTAATAGATTCACCAGAATTGCCGGCGAACTTTTTGGCATGCTGATCACAGTCTTGTTCATTCAAGAGGCCATCAAGGTTAGTTTCATACATTCATAAATATTTATAGGCGGCATTAGATCTAAAAGTAGGTTTGAAGATTAATTGAAACTTGATCTTTCTAAAATAATCCAGGGAATGGTGAGCGAGTTTAAGATTCCTAAACACGAAGAACAAAGCTTAGAGAAGTACAAATTTCATTGGCTTTATGCAAATGGAATATTGGGAATCATATTCACCTTCGGCCTTCTCTTTTCTTCTCTCAAGACCAGAAAAGCTAGATCATGGTTGTACGGCACAGGTTTGTTATTATTGTTACTGTGAAGTTGCAAACATTTTTATATTAAACTAACAAGATGTATCACTTCAAATTACTCCTGAACAAAGCAATTAGTTTTATGGTGTCAAATCCACGTGGTTGAAATTGTTGTAGTTTTGTGCGTCTGGAAAAGAAAAAAAACAAAGAAAGTCTCGCATTACTCAAACTACGGGAAGCCTTAGCTTGAGTGTGTAAGTCAAGAGGCAAGAATTATGACATTCTAACTGCTAATTTACCAGTAAGAGATGCCTAATCAATTGTCCAACTGCAGTAGGTGAAATAACATATATACACCTCTGGTACTTAATATAAGACCTAATTAACTAAATTGAGTAAATTAAGAATGTTAGTTAAATTAGTTAATATGATATTTTTTTCTATAACACTCTAATTATATTTTTTAATTTCCTTTTCTTCCCTACTTGACTATTGTTGAGGAAATATCAATAGGATTAATTTAGAAAAAAATTGATAAACATATGATGTGGGTCTTATATATAGAATCAATATCAATTTTCTAATTAAGTCATACATTAAAGACTAAAGACTAGAGAAGTAATAAGAAGAGAAAATATATGCTATATCTCAAAGACTATGAAGTATGCTCACTCATCTTATTTGACTATTTCATTTATTGCCACAATGCCTATGACGTGTCTTTTATATGTGCCGTCAAGGAATAAGTATAATAAATTGCATCACTGATTAAGACCTTAATTGATGACCTATATCTGAAGCTAACATGGTCTGCGTAATTTGTACAGGAAAGTTAAGAAGTTTCTTGGCAGACTATGGGGTTCCTTTAATGGTGGTAGTGTGGACAGCTTTGTCTTTCACAGTACCAGCAAACTTCCCTCTGGAGTCCCTAGAAGGCTCTTTGCCCCTCTTGCTTGGGAATCTTCTTCTTTACACCATTGGACAGTAATCAAAGTAACATATATATATTGCCCTTAAAAGAAAAGATGATATTTTAAATGTATATTGATATAATTCAATTAATATGCAGGACATGGGAAGGTTCCACCTGCATATATTTTGGGTGCTATTATCCCTGCATTGATGATTGCGGGTCTTTACTTCTTCGATCATAGCGTTGCTTCTCAAATGGCACAACAGAAGGAATTCAATCTCAAGAAGCCTTCTGCTTATCATTATGACGTGTTGCTTCTAGGATTCATGGTATATATATCATTATATATCTCTCTCTTACATGAAAGATCACTTGTGTTTTGGTCATGAA